TTGGCCAGGTTAGCCAGCACCTGCTCCTTCGCCTCTGATGTGGTGAAATGAGTTATGTGAGAAAATTAGAAATGAGAACTTCATTCACTCATTTCAGCTGATCATAAACATATTAGTATCATCATTATACATATTTTGTCCACCAGAGAGCAACAATTATATTTTTTAACTGCAAGTAAAAGTATTACCAGATTTATTAAACACAATATCAGCATTGGTATCTGCTTCAAACACCCACTATGGGTACAGCTATATGAAGGCTCTAGTGATTACTAAGACTAGATAATGTCAAAATCAATGTGTTGTGAAAACAAACAAAACGTTTATCTCTAATTTAAATGTAGGGTTCCCATCACACAGTTATTAAATTAAATGTTACATACTGTATTTCTGATGTTTCACTGCATCAGGGTGGAAAATGAACATGATTGTTCAAGTTCTACCAGCCACCTAATAGATTATCTGTGTCTCATTGTGGAAACTGCTGGAAAATAAAAACCTATTGTATAAAACAAAGCTGTCACCTTTACACACCTTCTACAGGAAGGGAAATAAAGCAGTCCCTCCAGAATAAAACCAGTAATACAGGTACACTCACTCTGTCCTGATGGATAACAAACATTAGGAAACATAATCAGACTTTTACACACATTACAAACTACCTACCCTGTTGTTTACACGACACATTGTGCTTTTTAAATCTAAAACCAGCTGTTTGTTATTCCCAGAGAGAGTCTGTTGTTCTCAGATTCTTTCTGATGAGAAATAAAGCTGGAAGTGAACCAACCATCACTGTCGGTGTCCTGGAACTCAGTGACCAGAGATTGTAAGTATTCAAAGCGGTCGGAGCCCTCAGACGAGCCTCTCCTCCACATCTTCGCTCCAGCCTTCACCTCAAACTACAAACAGACGACTGAACAAACTCATGTTTAACAGATTAAACAAAGTAACAAGGCTGAGCTGGTCTGTCTGTGAAATGTGTCCGTGCAACTGCGCGATAAGAATAGGGTTCCGCCTCAACCTTAACCGTCTTGTTGTAACTTGCGATATTGACTAAAACGCCACCACAACATCTTTTGCGCGCATTAAAACACCATACACGTGCTATGTAAGTGGTTAAATGTCTTATTTAATGTGTTGGGGATGATTTTGGTTCCTAAAAGTGGGAAACGGAAGTGGTGGTACGTGTGCAGCAGCAGGGTGTGTAACGAGTTAAGGTCAGTTATATTAATGTAGCTATTGCAGGTCGACCCTCTCTCTGTTTCCCTCACTGGACTTCAGATACAATGAAGCAACACCAACTGTCTGCTGGAAAACGTCTCACAAAACCGGTCTTATTTGGGACTCTGCTGGTCGGACTGGCAACTGCTTTCTTTAACAGGTAAACGTAAGATTTATTGCACATAGTGTGTTTTAGGTTTGCATTAGGTTCTCATTTATTATTACTGATATTTGAGGTGTTGTTTTTCTTTCCTTTTGTGTCTCTTTTCTGTTTTTATAAGCTGCTTGGGTGGATTTATTCTATTAAAGGAACCTAACAAACAAACTAATCCATCCATTGCAATAAACGAATCAGAAGATAAAGAGAAATGAACAGAAAAACAATCAGAAGCTGCCTCACTAAAGCAGGAATCAAAGAACAGGAGCTCTTTGGATCCAAGGGACATCAGGAGGCCAAAAGAAGAGAGCTGTGTGTTGCTTTGTGATCAATAAGTCATAGCCAAGGACTACCAAAGCACACAGTGTTGCAAAAGCCTTTTAATAAATGTGCTTTCAAGTAATCTGCAACTTAATTTCTGGATTAATCTGCAACAAAAACGTCCTGCACAATACAATAAAGCAACCAATAATCACAATAATCAATTAATTGATTAACTGCTTCGACTCTGTAAAAACCAGTACTGTAAATATGTTGTGTCTTAAAATATCTGTGTATGAATTCAATTCTATCAAGTTTTAACTGTTAAATAACTGGATTAGAAATAAACTGACAAAATTAAAGAGATATCCAAAACCCCTGGATCCTACATTTCCCATTATGCAGCTTGATTGTGTCTTTCATTAAACCCTCTCTGCTTTGTAAATGCCAGAATCTTTCAATTTCTACTCGCCTGTTGCCATTTTATTGAGACAAAAGTGACAAAACAAAAGCAATTATTATTATTATTATTATTATTATTATTATTATTATTATCATATAAGACAGAATTTAAGAAGCTAAAATGTGCAAATATTAGTCATTTTTGCTTTAAAAATGACTAAAACAGTGAATTAATTATCAATATAATTGCAGATTTCCTCTGTCGATTGACTTATTTGTTTCTCCTTTTGTGCATCATCAGTGTAACATTTTAAAATAGTATCACAGGGTCACATAGATAAATTAAAACAGGTCTAATAGGAAATAAAACATTAAAAACTGAGCCTTACATCCGTCTAACGAGTCCTTCTCCTCTGTGCAGGCACAGGTTCTTTGAGGACGTGGAGGAGCTCAAGGCCCAGGAGCGAGAACGCAACCAGGCCAAGAGGATGGAGATCTTGGAGAGGAGGAAGAGGCAGATAGAGGAGGTGGCCGAGAGGAAGAGAGGAGGGAGCAGCTGAACCACAGCGTGAACAGAAGATCCTTCTGGGGCAGAATATTAATGTTGAGCAGGTCTACGGACATGGACTCTAAATATACCCGACTGTACAAAGCCTGATTCACGTGTGTAAAGACGACCTTGTTAAACCGAGGCCTTTAAATAACCTGCCTGGTTTCACTAATGGATATTATTCAAATAATCCTCACACATCAGTTAATACAAGAGGAAGATAATCATGCTGGAGACATCTGCTGTGCAAGAAGCCAAACTGTGTGTGTTTTATAAATGCAGCATCAGTGGATGAATGTTGGATAATTCACACATGAACAGGAAATGTAATCTTCTATTTTGTGTCTGTTTTGAGACATAAATATTAATTATTAAATGACTAAAAAGTAATTATTCTTTTTTGTGTCTTGTATTTACATGTATTTTCCAGCAGGGGGCAGTGTTGTCAACAACTTAAAGGACCATATGTTTGGTTTAGTTTTAGCTCCTTAAATTTAAATCATGAAAACTTTTACAGGTTTTTCTGACGATTTTCAAACACATGCTGTAGAGTTTTAGATTTTCACAGTTTAAAAATACTCCATTACAAGCAAAAGTATTCAGAATATACAAAAGTATTATTAGCAACATGTACTTAAAGTATCAGAAGTTAAAGTACTCAGTTCATTATGCAGTGTTATATTATTGTATAATGTAATATAGGTATTTTTAGGTACTTTATATTTTTTATCATATCTCATTTTATAAAATTCTTGTGTGTTTTACTTGTAAAATCTTAATCTGAAAGGTAATTAGTAACTAAAGCTGTAATTGAGTGTAGTTGAGTAAAATATTTCTATATCTGAGTTTTAGTAGTTGGTCGGACAAAGACATTTGAAGATGTCACCTTCAGCTCTGAGGCATTATTATTATTATTTATTATTATTATTGTATAATTGTTCACTATTTCTGGGCATTTTATAAAACCAAATGATTAATCTACAAAATAATTGATATTGCAAAAAAAGGGTTGTGACTAATAGTTGTTTTCATCATTGATTAATAATAATAATCTTTATTTATAGATCAAACCCATGTTACAAAGTGCTTCACAAAAAATAAAAGTGATAAAATCATCAAAATATAGAAAATTACAACCAGCTAAAACAATAAAAACATGTTAATCTGCTGATTGTTTTATAGATTAATAGTTTATAAAAAAAATTATCCCCAGAAATAAGAGAAAATTATATAATAATCATATGTTAGGACCTGGCAGAGAAGAGTTTCTGCTCAGAAAATGATAGAAATTATTCACAGACCTGATAGAAACAGGACACATTGATGGAGTATAATTACATATTTTATTAAAACATGCCGTAAAAGAAACCTGAAATAAATTAAACCCACAAACTATAACAAACAGGCAATATTGCACTTGAATGAATATGAAGAATAAGTTCCCACAAGGTCAAAGTGCTTCACTTGCTCATCGTGTACAGTACTAAAAAAATGTGCTGCGTTATAATAAATCCAAATAAATAAAAAAAAAAGTGGATAAAAACACTTTTGACTACAGAATACAAGAAATGCTGGTTAACTGTTCTGAACAGCGCCGCTTAAATAAATGGGCTGTCTATAAATAACGATCAATATGACCAATACTGTACACATCATGTCACATAGTTCAGAGGGTGGATGTTGTTTGACTCACTACAATGACACAAAGACTTTCCCCCCTTTCCCTTCTGAAACAGAAAACACAAGATTAATAGTTAAAAAGCCAAACTGGAGTCTTCACCTGGACGCCGGCGAGGCTCACACGTCGGACATTTTGTAACATCAGTAATTGATGGAGGCTGACCATCATCCAGGAAGTGATGGCAACCCATTAAACCTATTATGTCCCCATTCACGTTCCCAGCAGTGGGTGTGTCAGCCTTAATCGACGTTATTGCTAGTGAAAGTGGTGAATAGAAGCAGTAATGATTAAACCAGCCGTTAATTTTAGTTGCATAATATTTCCCTTTTTCAGGATTCAGAGGGGAGATCTCACGGGAAACTTTAAACAAGAAGATGGGGGCGCCATCTTTGTACGAGCCAGTGAGCAAAGATACAGTAACACATGAAATATATAGAGACAGGGACCTTCGATTACAGCAGGAATGAAGCACAAGTGTCAGAACAACAGTGTGAGGAGACGAGGGGGGATAACGGTACGTCGACAGGGTTTTACAGTATTAGCCATTTGTGTTGTGTCTCTTTTTTTAGATGTGATTTTCCAACTGCAGGACGCAGGCGTGTTGGGTTTTATAAGGTTTGGGTGTGTTGGGGGGGCTACTGTCACACAGTGAGGGGCACTAAGCCTGGGGAGGAGGCAGCAGGAGGGGTGGTGATGGCTGTCAGGGCACCAGGTTTCAGTCCGTTCACGGTCCTGCTGCAACAAAAACAAGAGTTACATTAAAACCAGGAAGCTCTCAGGCATCATATCCACGAGGGTCACTTAATTAATTTAATAATTTAATAATAATATCAATCTAAACTCCCCTATTAACTATTATTTACTGGTTCTTTTACAAAAAAACTTACATTTAATGACCAAATTATCCTATTTTTTCTTTCTTTTCATGGCAAAATTTGACTTTTATACATAAAGGATGAACAAACTGTCGGATAAACTCTCTGTACACGTCTGTATTTTCTGTCACTGTCAGTGTTTCTCCTCAGGCTCACTGACACTTTCCAGTAACTACCGCCAGCACAAAGCACTGACCTGAGCAGCGGCAGGTCACCGCCGTCATCCTGCCCTCATTATCCACTGAATCTGCAGCTCATACCCAGAGGACACTGCAGCTACCACACCAAGGATGTTTTTAAAATGTTGTGTGATGCTAAAAATGAAACCCGAATGCAGAAAGTGGGAAGGAAGTTGCGGTTTGAAGAGTTAATCCGGACCAACTGGTCGAACCGGTTTCTTTTGTGGGTCGTGGTTGGGCTACGACCTGAATCCCTCGAGTGGTTTTAACCTGAGTCATGAGTCTGGAAAGCACCATTCAGTTTCACTACAATGCAGTAAAATGTCTAAGGCTGGTAAGGTTCTATAGCGGTGTATGTATGTGACTGTAAGATTATATAAATGTCAGGTAGAGGTGGGAAGTTATAGGCGCTGTATGGATCTATATTGGGAAGTACTGGGGGGAAAACTGTCAGAAGGCTTAACCTTCACTTCCAGCAGATCTCTGTAGTCTGCTCTGTGTCAGCTACCAGCTACAAGTGGCTGCTTTTTAATGAGTTTCTGCACCAATATCAAATTAGTTTTAGTACCTTAGCTCCTACCTAAGATAAAGATGTTACTTTTTTTAAATCAAAATATGTCAAACTGTGTTAAATAAACTCGTAAATGCTCTTTTCCCACCAGGATATAATGTTCCTCTGTTACAGTAAGTGGGACAAAACGCCTTTGGCTTCTCAAAAGTTCTCTGAAGGTTAATGGTGTGAATAACAAACCCTCTGCTCTGAAACCAGAAGGACAATGACCTTGTTGTGTGTGTGTGTGTGTGTGTGTATACCTCAATATGCACACACTGCCTAACACAGTAGAAACACTATACGCTGTCAGTGCTCTCGCCAGCAACAGAGAGGAGTGACACAGCAGAAAAACTGAACAGAACGGACATTTTTTTCCACATTAAATATGACTGAATGTTACCGGATACATCAGGTGATATTATTTTCTTAGTGTCAACAAACCGCATTAAAACTACACAACCAACGACGCACTATATGAACAAATATTGTGTGTGTATCAAAGCCTGATTATTCCTCTGTGCCATAAAGCTCCATTGTTGTCCACAAACAAACACATTGTAGTTTTATTTATACACCGTCCTGCTGCCCCAAATACTCATTGAAGCACCAAATGTGGATTAATCTGCCACTCAAAATAGTCTCAAACAAATGTACATTTTCCTCCTGTTAGAGTAACGTTTGGTAAGAACTAGCAGCTGTTTTAGGCTTTAGGGATGGCAATGTTGTTCCATCTTCGTTAAAATTACATAATCAAAGATTTGTGGCAGATTTTTAAAGATTTACATCTTCAGTTGGAACCAGTGGGTTCAGAGCTGAGTGCCATAAATATGAAGACAGAGTAACACACTGTTAGTTTGGTTATTTAAGGGATTTGTTGAGAACAAGTAAATCTCATCTTCATTGCCTGAATTGGACCAAAATAAAGGTGCCAGTATGCAATTTCAGCACAACTCTAATCTTAATTATTTTGGCATTTTTTCGTCCATTTTAGAGACATTTTCAGCGTTGTTTTGTCCTCACTTGTATTCTGCGAAGACCAACCCTTCATCGGCTCTAACCCTGACATTTAAACCTCATGCCTAACCCAACCCAACCAACAAAGGCAACAAACACAAGTGCCGCTGAGTACTGTCCCATTTCAGGCACTCCCTACCCTTTAATGATGAAATACTTTCACTTTTTGTTGCCAGCTGCCAGTAATTTTCCCACAGTTCATTTGTAACAGTTTAAATAAGTTTTAAAAAGTCTAAAATGCAAAAAACACACAACAAAAAAAGCTTTAAAATTTCCTTTTGTTAATTATAATAAACGCTCAGATCTAGGGCCAAAACAACATAAACAACTCACATTAGTACACAGACAGGAAGGAGATCTATTAGGTTAGAGTTAAAACAGGAAGCATTACACCACCACCGCCACCAACACCACCCTGGGACAGTTAGTGGCCGGGACGTCATCTACAGTAGCCCACAGTTATTTCTATGAGCTCTACAAGGGATTATTAAAAGCAGCAGCAGCATGCATGCCCCCCTCCCCCACCACACACTCAGGTAACAGACATAGGAGCTGTGATTACCCAAAATCAATGCAGGGAATGTGACCATCTCTGTCCTGCTGGGGGAAAAAATGCACACAGGTCTCAGATACTCGTCCATATCTCCTGCTGAGTCATCACATACTCTATGACAACACCGAAAGGCATCCTGTAAACACGTCTGACAGGAATTACATTGTGACATTCATTGATTATTCGCTCTTAAAAGGGGTTTTTTGGTTTCACTTACGCTTTGTCAAAATATGACGTATGGAGGGGCTGGCCGTAGCTGGCTGTGTTTGCGTTCAGCGCGTTGCTGTTGTCGAGAGCGTACGCCTTCCTCGCTCTCTGGTCCTTGGCGAAGTTTCTGCAAGCGGCAAGCTTGGACTCCAGAGCCTGTGTGGGAGGAGGGGCACAAATAATGATATAATATACGCTCTCCTTTCCCGTGGGGAGACGGGGACTTTCTACGTAAAGCTTGGGATGTAGCGGAAGAGAAAGGGAAACCTGGGAACAGGAATGACTCACCCCTACTTTCCGAAGTAAATCACTGACGATGTTGAGAGCCGATATCCTGGCGGAAGGAGTCAATGGAGAGTTGCTGCCATATCCGTTTGAAAGCACTGTGCATCAAAGGAGAGAGTAAAGACAAACATTAGAGATTTATGTACAATTTTAACTGAGAATCTGTCATAAAAGAAGCCGATTACGTTTGTATGATTGTTAAAAATTATTTAAAAAAATAAATAATATAGAGGGTTAAGTTCCCTGAACAGGAAATAATCTGCTCAAAATCAGCATATTTTTCCCCTCTGAGAGCACCAGAAGAACTGTTTCTCAACAAGACACGAATAACTGATGTCCACACAAAAACAGCAGAATACTGATGTCGGGTTTCCCCATCTGTATCTGCTTGATGAGAGGAAGAAAAATGCCCTCAATGGAATAGAGGCTGCAGCTACCTGTTGGGTTGGCAAAGGCGTTGTCCAGACCTTTGCTCAGTGGGGTGGCAGGGAGAGAGAGAGAGGCCTGCACCGCCGTGTCCATCTTCTCGTTGTCCTGCGTGGGCGAACTTGGAGCCGACATCCTGCTCACGTCTGACTGCCTCTCTCGGACGGCAAGCTCCTGCCTCAAGTCTATGAGCAAAGAACAAATAAGGAAAATTTTTTAGCTTTTCTCAAAGAGCCGAAATCTGCACGAATGTGTGGGAAAGCAGATATTCGGCGGATCAAAGAGGAAGCTGTGTGTTAATGAGCTGTGGTGGTGATCGACAGCGTGGCTCATCAGTAAAAATCTAGTCAATAATCACCTCTGGCTTCATCCTTTAATCTCTGCACGGAGACCAGCAGCGACTCCTTCTCATCCAGCTCACTCTCCAGGAAGGCGTTCCTCTCGATGGCCTGGTTCAGACGCTGCTCGAAGTTCTCCAGAGACACAATTGTGGCTCTAAGAGAGACGAATAAAAATAAAATAAAAAGGAAGCAAAAAATTTACATTTCATTAATTAAATGTAAATATCCTCTGGGGCTGCCTTTTCGGTACGAATAACATCAATGATTTTAATCAAATTCAAGCCAGAAATTGATTGAATTCGAGCCCTTTGCTAATTGTAACAAGCACTTAGAATTGTATCTAAAGCACATTTTTATACATCATGAAGTAACTGGTTTGATGGGAAAAACACCTTTGACTCGGGTTAAAGTGTCTATCATGATTTATCCTTATAAGAAAAGCCAAGATCTTTATTCAGTGACATAAAAATGCTCATCAGGAACATTAAACTCTTAAAAAGGAGAAACTATGAAGACACTGACTGACTAAATTGTGTGCAGGAGTGATTTTAGGGTGTACTTTAGACGAACCTTTTGGCTCTCTCCAAGTCATCATTGGACTGTTCGAGCTCTCTGACGTATTTGTGGAGCTGATCCTTGATGCTGCGTGTTTGCCCGAGGTCGTCCTCCAGCATGGAGATCTGCTTGTAGCTCTGAGAGTACTGTTGCTCCAGCTTGTCCTGAGTAGGGAAGAGATGGGACAGGATGAAGACAGACGCCACATATCAATCACGTGTATTTCAATCTAGAGCACAGACAGCTCCCGACGCTGCACCGCCTACATGCTGTCATCCATTTTTCAGTGCTGTTTCTCACTTTCCTTCTCTCTGCTGTAAAGCAGCGGATGTTAAGTGTGACCTATATATCCACCAGCTCCGAGACAATCAGCTCAATAAGCACCGCCGTGGCCCGTCTGTATGTCTGACCTATATCTGCTGTTACTGTGCAGACTGAATCACATGCAGAGGCCAGACAACCCTGTTTGAGTCTCATTCAGCCCAAACCTATGAACATTACACTGAGTATAACTGTGAAGATATTTTTAATGCTTTGATGTTCTTTGTATGGTGGTTTGAGGTGAAAAATAAAACATTGGATGAAACTTGCTAAACATAAAAAAAAAAAACACAATGTTGTTCTTCTCAGAAATCTTGTGTTTCTGAATGTTGTGTTTTCTAAAATGTTGTAGTGTTTTCTGAATGGTTGTGTTTTCCTATTTGTGGATTTAATTTTGTATAATGTCATTGTAATTCCTGAAATGTCTCTTTAAATACTGTGTGTACTGAAATGTTGTCTGTGATCAGTGTTGTCTGAAATGTATTTTGCACCTCAAGGCTACCATAGATTTGTACTGAAAATATCTAAAAAAAACAAACAGCAATTTTACATTGTTTTGTGTCTTTTCTAAAAAAAAATTTATTATTTCAAAAACATATACCTGAAAAGCCAACAGTGCAATGTTCAAAAACTCCCACTACTGTGTTTTCTCCCCACAAACAAAGCTACAGTATGAATTCACTTGATGAACATCTCATCCCTGCTGGTGACTTCACTTCACCCGGCTGGAAACACAGACTCAGAAATGCGCCACCCGCCTTTTTTGGTAATTATGGAGCGAGAATAAGACACAACCTGATGCATTATGTATGAGAGTCGTTCAGATCAGCTGCATCAATATACAGCCCGCTTAGGACAGAGCAGGTGCTGCTTCATAAGTGCTGAAATTAGAAAAGAGAAGTAGCTCAGCAGCGTCCTGGAGTGAGATTACCATTTAGATTGCACATGGATTCACAGAATATGCCGATCCCAGGACTATACTCCTCGACAAGACCAATAAACCCCATCATAACCACAACTTTTATTATGAGCCTTTATAGGTCTAATCTCAATGACCTCTTACGTAGAAGAAAAAATAAATAAGTGCTGAGTGCATATGCATCCAGGGGAGCAGCAGCTGCTACAGCGTGACTTTACTTCTCGCTCCCAAGAGGCTGCACTCAAGACGGACGAGTGGTGATATAAGATGGCTACAAAAAAAAAGAAACATCAAATATTTATTTTAAAGGTTTCACATGGAGACACGCTGTACTTTGTTCGGTTCAGAGCGCCACATGTTGTCAAGATTAAAAAAAAAACATAATATACATAATGCTGATCTCATCATTGACCCACATTCACAGAAAAAGTCACAGCGAAGGTCAAACAGCAGTCATTGATCGAGCCGGTTGACAGGTGTGGATAAAAGGAGGTCAGTGGTCACGAGATTATTAAAAGGTTGTAAAATATTTGTTGCTACACAAAATATTTAGATTTTTTTGCTTTTTGTTTCATAGATTTGCTTTTTTCTGGTGAAATGCTGAAGAGAACTCAAAAACTATTAATATTAATGCTTCAAATAGTGATTATTTCCATTTGTGATTCATCAAAATGGTCTTAAAAAGTGAACTTGAACTTGCAGAAACCCAGCTAACACTACATATACTGTTGCTTTTTGCAGCAGTGATCACACACAGATTTCATTTATCATCCCCGTTGTTTTACCAAACTAACTGCAGTTACCTTGAGCGTTTCGACCTCGTTCTTGAGTCTTTGGTTCTCGGACTGCAGGTCTTTCATACGATGCTCGGCCTGGCCCAGCTGTGCCTCCAGCTCGGCCTCCAGCTCCCTGCTGCCTTCCTGAAACTCCAGCAGCTCCTCCTGAGCCTCCTGGCAGCTGCAGGCGGAAAGAAGAGAAGGCATCGGACAACAAGTCGAGACAGAAAAGAGGCAGATATGCAAGCCCGGTGGGGGAATTCATCAACTGTTGCACTTAAACAGCTTACTAGCATCTTTATTTCATCTTATCTGGCTGATATTCACAATTTCTGACACCTATGCTGTAGAGTGGGTGGTTTCAATGATTGGTAATTAGCATAATTACTTTCCATCACTGAGTAAGACTAAGTACATTTAATCAAGTACTGTAGTTAAGAACAAGTCTGAGGTACTTTACTTCTACTCCACTACAATTAAGAGGCAGATATTTCTACTCCTCTCTGAGTCGTATTTAGCTAAAAGCTACACTGGCCAGACAATTTAAGGAAATTACGTTTTAAAATAAAATGAATAAAAAATTAATGTAAAATAAATTTTACAGCAGTTAATTCTGTGTTTGATACATTTTACTCTCCACCCAAAAACAAAAAACATGACCTACATTTCAGTTCATTCAGTTCAACGGGAACCAGATCTCTGACACTGAGAACAACCACATAGTTCACTAAACAGCCTCACCATGAACGGGTGGTTATGTAAGTGTGTGTTGATAAGAGCCTGACCACACTTGGAACGGACACACACACACACACACACACACACACTCAGACAGAGCCGGCTGTCTAAAAATGGCAAATGGAATAATCAAGCATCACATGAGCGAGGAGAGTGCTGGAGGTGGCCCAGAGCCAGAAAATCCATTTATAAACGCTCGTGTTCAGCTCACTGTGGAAAGACTCGGTCTCACTTTGAACTGGTTCTACATAGAAAAGGTTGGCTGCTGCTAATTTGCAGTCTGGTCCTTCCTCTATTCACAGTTGTTATTACCGTCATTCAAAATACTCCAGTGAATCTGAGTGGTTAGTTCGGGGGGAATCCTCCCAGCAGAAAGACATTTCACGATATAAAAATGCTTATTTAACACACAATTTGGTGATTTTTCTCACCATTTTTAAGGCCTTTTAAATCAGTTCTAATTCTACAGGGGTTTCTCATGGTTTACAAAACTAAAACTTACTGAAGGTATTGAAGGAAAAGGTTGTAGTTTTTGTGCTTTAAGATGATTAAATCTGTCAAAGAAGATCATGCAATATGATCTATAGCTACAGAACTAAATAAATAGACCTCAAGGAGAAGCTGTTTTGTTTCCGAAGTCAAGAATGACCTTTAAAACTCATAAAGCTGCTGGTTTTCAAACTATGGTACCAATGGTGGTACACGGAAGAATCTCTGAAATATTTTTATGAAAAATAAATAAATTGATTCAAAAACATTGAATACTACCAAAATGCTACATTATTTTGCTTGAAAATACTTGTAACTTTTTGCATTTTCTGTAATATTTTGTTTTAATATGAGTCTGTTTCGTAGTCACATTCATGCACATAGCGCATACATACATCCATGATTAGTTACGAGATAAAATGTGTTGATAAGATAGTAAGTGGAGGTAAAATAAATGGTTCAAAAACACTGTAATCGTGGCTCCAAACTGGAACTACCTGGAAGAGAAGTGTGGATCAGGAGGACAACTTTTCCACCAAATTAAGCATTCAACAACAGTCAGCAATAAATAATCTCCTTTCTAGGAATAAACCTGCCTCCTGTGTGAACTATCCGTAGCTGAACAAGACGTAAGAGGCGTGAAACTCATGTGACAGTATTTCATAATATCAAGGCTGAGAGAAGAACTGCCACTTTAACGTTATCTTATTGTAGTTTTATGTTGTGTAAACTAAATATTTCAGGGGAAACCTTTCAAACCTGGAGAGCCTAATGGAATCTATGGTGGTACCTGGTGTAAAAAGTATAATAAATACTGGATTAGATGATAAAAAAAGACTAATTTTAACATCCTCTGGATTAATAGTCACACACACAAACAGAATGGAAGTAGCCTCGACATTAAAGGAAGCTCATTGTCTACAGACTCTTACGTAACTGGGTGTTGCTTCCTTTTGGCTCCGGGTGTTGAGATTTCAATCAGTTCTTTATCAAGCGATGTGCTGTAAAATAAGATTTTCCTCTTGGAGCAGCTACTTTTACTAGCCTTTAGCCTAAAAATGTCAACGGCAAAAAAAACAAAAAACAGCTGTAGTATTACATGAACCTATTCAAAAGATGGGAGGACAAAAGACACACGAGAGCCTTTTATGTTTAATGTGAAACATGAGAAGGTAAGGAAAGGGAGAGGTTTCCCACTGGAGCTTTCACTGCTCGTCCCACATTAAAAAGTGCCACTGGATCTGCGTCGCTGGGTTTTAATTGAAAGAGTAAGAATGGAAGATATCAGATCAAACATTCCTGAGGTGGTGAGCTGTTGTTCCCACCGACACAGAGACTGCAGTGTCACCGTCAGCCGTTGTGATCTAGATCAGAGGTTCCCAACCTTTTTCTTTAAGAGCTCATTAAGTAAACTGACTAATATTATATTTAATGCATAACAAAAACAGTTAGAGAACAACTGATAAACTGAATAACTGCAGGAAGTTTGTGCAAAACGAGCAAGTTGGATGACTTTTAATAAGATTATTTCCTGTTTATGGAACTTTTTATACAATTCTCCATCTGTATAATGTATTTTTTTTTTTTAAACAATCATACAGACTTAATAAGCTTCTATTTTGACAAATTTAGTGCATTTTTTAGCCTTGTCCCCCAGGGCCATTGTTCTATTGGCTCTTCAGGTTGTTTGAATGCGAATGTTTCTAATGCAGGACGAGGCTGTTTGGTTCTGTGAATATAGCTCCTGTTCAGGTCTTCAAAGTTTATATCTTCAATAATAATCTAAACTTTAAAAATATATAGGCCTGCTGTGTATATTTTCTAACGTTTTCTTACACCCCTTAAAATCAAGAAGGACTGGTGACCCCTAGTAGAGGTCTCGACCACTGATCCAGACTGTAACTCAGTGGCACAAAATGTGGCTGACAAAGAGGTCAGAGGTACCTTGGCTGAAACATATAAAACTGTAACTTCACTATCAATCTTGTCGTCTTTTAATACACTAAAAGACGAGTAAATCAGGTCGTCTCAATCTCTTCTTAAAAACATACTTTTATCGGAGAAGCCTTCCTTGACTTCACTTGAATATAAAGTATCTTTTACTTCCTAAATGTTTTTGAATGAATAATATAGAATAAAAGCAGCTTTATGCTTTAAACTGTAAATGCTCCCAACAGAAAAGGGCAACCACATAATGTTACCTGTTCTTGTACTTGAGGGAAAGAGCCTTCCAGAAGTCAATCTCCTCATCTTTTGAGGAGAATTTTGGTATCATATCCGTTTCCATGGCAAACAAATCTGGAGAGGAAAGGAATCAGGAAACAATAGTGATTACGATGGATAACAGGATGGAGAAGGTTTATCACACAGAGCGTTGAATCAGCTAACTCTCACTTTTTAGGTCAAACTCATCCCTTCAGATTTCTTAAAGCTTCGTCTATCTGCTCTTCATTTGTAAAAAATAAAGTGAGAAACATGCTTAAAAATTAATGATTTAAACCACAGCTGGGAATTTAACATCACAAACGCTCCCTAAAGACTCCCAGAAACCCAGAGGAGAACCACATACTCTGCTTTCCTACAGACAAAACTGCATTCTCAATGTTATCAATGCCCTTCTATGAGTTTAATCTCAAACTGGGTTAAAATAAGAGCCTACTGACTTCTTATAAACACAAAAAACATCTGTAACACAATTAAAAATGCAGCAACACGCTAACTTTATTCCAAGGAAGCGTTCACATTCAGCAGAACAAAGGCAGTGAGTGTTTACACTTAATCAGCCTACATAGTGAAAAATAAAATTAGATTTAAATAAAAACACAGTTCCCAGAGGCAACACTGTGACCAGGAGCCTCATTCATCACACTGACTCACAATTAAAACTGCAATTAAACTCCCCAAACGCCAAACTAGTTGTGAGCGGGAGCAGACGGGAACCAAATGCCTAAATTAGGATATTTTAGGAAATCTGTTGTCATTGATTAGTCCTCATTAAAACGCTCCCTTTGACTTAAATAGGCTACAGATACAGAGAACACAACGCTCCATCTGACCCCAAAACAACTGTTGGACAACACAGTGTGTTTGCTCGGGACAAAGATCTTTTGTGCGGTCGCTGAAACAGGGTTGCTTTCACGTGCTTTCCGTTTGGTGTTCCCAGTTGGAAAACAAAAGCTCTGGGAACGAGATGGTTGACCTGTAAACTCAACACGCAGTCAACTATCAGCGGAGGAACACTTTGGAAATCAGATAACCTCATCATACAGTGGCAGCAGCACCAATTTGGTGACACATATTCCAACAAGTTTATCCCAAATTTGAGAGGCTTTGAACTAAATGTGTTATAAGATCTGATGCTGTTATTTAAGGCGGCTGTTCCCAACCTTTTCCCCTAAGAGACCCCTTTTTTAAAAATCATTTAATGAACTGACGACCTCTGATTAAGTGATATTTTATGGATATTTCATAT